CGTTCTTAACCGCGTGCGAAATACGCATATAGTCGGAAAGCGCAAGTTAAATCCCCAATCTGGAACGTTAATTTATTGTGACTAAGGCTAATCCCTTACTTCCAGATATTAATTGACATGTCTCACCAACAACTCACAGGGGATCAATCCTTGTTTAAACGCGAGATACAGTATACTGCAGGTTAACTATACTAATTAACTAATTGAGGGTTCAATGACATTGTTTACTTAGTGCTTAAATGGTTGGGTGCTTAAATAGTGACACATAAATAAACTATTCTTCTTCTTTTTGTTTATTTTCAAGATGCTGTGTATAACTTCCTAACCAGCTAACATATGTAATTTCTGAATTCTGTTGGAACGATAATTTGGTATTGGGCCGCAAGAGCGAAACCTAGCCATAATCAACTCTAAAATCTCTTCGCTTTCGTGAAGCTACAGTACGACTGGTCAGGCTACAGTAAACATGGGATATTGCTATACCGGGACTCTCAAATTACAAGAAAAACACAGAAATGCGTATACCGTAATCACAGTAGTAATTTATTAGATGCTGAAGTATAGTATAGTTGCACAAAAGTACTCTACATTTAACAAATTTAATAACTCTAATATTTCATAGATGTACATTATAATTTCTACAAAAACAACAATAAATTTATATCGTAAAATATAATGGTAAATACATAAATACATTATATAATAAATTTGCGGTTGCTAGGCATACACGTTGTGTTCAAGTCATTCACTCAAAGTGGATCAGGTCACCAACGTGTAAGAAGATATCCTCGTCAACAGACTCTGACGCAGCGTGAGACGACACCCCACTACCACAACCACGCACAATGAATACAGACGAACTGGTAAAACAGTCGCTAGAAACAGTGTACACTCCTCAAGCTTACCCCCCTATACACCCGATGTATGCTTCGGGTCAGCCTCAATACCCGCCTGCACTTCTGCCATATCCACCACAACACACGCCTCAGCAGTCTACCTCTGCCATGGAGATGGCGGCCAACATGGCTAAACTGGATAAACTTGACACGAAACTTTCTAAGCTAGATGTGATTGAAAAGGATGTGTCAGATCTCAAATGCAACGTGGCTAGACTTGAAATTAAAGTTCAAGAGCTTGACTCCTTAAGATCACGAGTTGATGAAATTGACAAATGCACTACATTTCTAAGCGGAACTTTTGATGAATTCAGAAGTGAGAAAATAAAGATGCAAAGTGACATAAAACTACTACAGGACCAGATGTCCAAATGTGCCCCTCTCCTACACGACATAGAACAAGAAAACATGCAGCTATAGAAACTGTGATTGATTTTAAATATCGCTCCATGAGGGACCTCATTTTCTCAAATATTCCTGAAACAGTGGCGTCCCCTTCACTTGAAAACTGCGAAAAGGTGCTGAAGGACTTCATAAAAACAGAATTAGATATCAATAGTGATAGTCTACATTTCAAACGAATGCATAGGATCGGCCGACCCAATTGACGCACAGAAAACATATGTTCATAGCACATGTAAGCTTTGTACCTCCCCTGCCATAGCCGACGAGTTCCACTACCTCTTTAGATGTGAATATTTTGACCAGCAAAGAAAAACATTAATTGATAATAGATATCTAAACTGGTCAAACATTATTTCCTTTAAGCATTTGATGTCAAATATGAGAACTTACAATCTTAAAAAACTGTCTAAATTTGTAAAAATATTACTTTCTGCACTAAAGTAAAGCGCTGTTGCCATTTGATCACGTTGTATTTTTTGTATATATGTATGCTATTATGTTGCTCATACGACCACCGGTCGGCGGTTTGAGTTAATAAAGAACTTGAACTATGAACTATCTAGTAAATCTCCTCTCCTCTGTTTGAACAGCACGGGCGCTAATCTAAACTACGGTAATCCGGTGTTTTTATAGCAATTACTCATTTCTCGCTTTCGTAGGACAAATACCCCAACTTGGGTTTTCGCTTTACTGATACTAGGGAAAATTGGATTTTCGCTAACCAGGCACGACACCGATAATTTAATATCTAATTTAGAAAACATTATATAAATTATCGTCCCTCACGCAGAAAAAAACAAGCATGGAATACTCCGTTCATTTTCGATAATTGGGTTTGCATAAAAGAGGCGATTTAAGCAATTTAAGCAAGTTTTGTGCCTTGTGTAATTGTAGATGAAGAAACACAACAAATACAATTCGCATTTATATAAGTAAAGCAAAATATCAATTAAATCTGAATAAGTCAATGTGTAAATTTCTTGTTCTAAAAAGTACAGGTATTAGTATTCATATTCCACTTGTAAATAATTTGGATTTGTAACATTTTTTTAAATTTTCTTGCGTCGGTTGTACAATACATTTACAGTCGTAGTTTGTTGACTGAGCCTCCAGAAATATTTTAAACATTGCATTTTTAGCAATTTCGTGCCGTTTGAACAATATACCAACAAATGTAGTAAGTCAGTGGCAAAGTAAAGTCAAATAAACAAAGATGGCGGATGCAGTAAAATTTCGAAAAAAATGGGAATAGCTTCAGCGCACCAGGTCTGCGAGCAATACTGCTACAAACGTGCAATGTCTGACCCTTTCCCAAGTTAAAGCATATTGAGAAAAGCTTACCTTGTACTTACTTACCTTTTGTAAAACATGAGACATCAATACAATATACATCCCCGTGTTATGAGTTTTCGGACGCTGAATAAACATTCGTAGTTTTTTCACATGAACAACTGTAAAACATCTCATTCATTTATAAAAGACAACGTTATCATAAAAACAAGCCATGATCGGAGTATTTACAATTTCTGTGCGATGCCACACCCCTCGTTATAGTGCAAGTATTCGTGATAGAATACTTATGATGTCCGGAAACTTAAGATCAGACAATAATAGTATTGTGTTATGAATAATAATAAAGGCATGTTTGGTGCTGAAAGCTCTGATCAAAAACAGGACAATCCGCGACGGTTTTTCGGAGTATTTTCTTTTAAATCTTTGATTATATATATTTACGCGTAAGATGAATTTTCCGAGGACTACTGTTTAAAAAAACTCGATTTTCCGCGGAGATTTCACATTATAACAATGTATACCTTACTATTAAACCGTACAAACCAAATTCAACACTTTTAAGTAATAATGATATAGCTTTCATCCTCTGTGCAATCAGTTGGCTAATCTGCTATGCGCACGAGAGCATGCTACAAATCACTTCGCGGTATCCCGTACAAACCAATCTGAGCTCAGCACAAATCGATTTCAACACTTTCAAGTGATTATAATAAAGAAGTCACCGCCAATGCAATCACCTCCGACTGCTAATTGGCTCTGTGCATTTGACCATAAAGTCTACACACATACTTGTTCTGTTTTTTGCAAGGTATCTAAACTAAGCGGCAAAAGAAAGTATAGGTGAGCAATTTGTTATTTTTTCTAAAAACAGCGATAACTGGTGGAAAGTGGGTATTGGGAATATGACTGCCCAGGAACAGGAACCAAAAACACCCACCCGAACGCGCCACCTTTGACGGCACTCGTGCGGGGACAAAAAATATGGCATAAACTGCACGTGCATGTAAGCTGTATAAATGCGTTCGTCTGCAGGGTATAACCACACGTGATGAAAGCACACAAAAGAAATGCCACGACTGTCACAGGAGCAGAGAGAGAGAGAGAGCCATCGGTATGTCCGAAATGAGGGGGAACACAGGTCAAAATTGCCAGAAGGTTTGGTTGTACACCATTGACAGTAGCCAGGCTGATTCAATGGTACAGGCAGACAGGGAGGACACAGCACAGGCCTAGAACCGGACGACCCCGAGTGACAACACCACTGGAAGACGGTCAGATACGGCTCATTCACTTGCGAAACAGATTCGTAACGGCGACGGCGACGGCGAAGGCGACGGCGACGGCAGCAACAGCGTTGGGACATCCCATTAGCCATCGCACAGTACTACGACGACTTCGTGCTGCTGGAATCCGAGCGTATCATCCTTTCCGAGGAATGGTACTGACTGCCCAACATCGACGCCTGAGACTGCGATGGGCGAGGCAGGTTCGACGCTGGCAAGTGAGAAATTGGCGTCGAGTGCTGTTTACTGATGAAAGTCGGTTTAACTTGTTTGGAAATGATGGCAGAGCACGAGCTTATCGACACAGAGGGGAACGTTTGGCTCCGGCGTGTATTCGAGAGGTTCATCCATTCGGCGGGGTAGGTGTGGGGCGGTATTTGTGGAGATCAGAAGACTGACTTGGTGATCATACAGGGAAACCTGAACGCTGTGCAGTACAGAGACCAAGTGTTGCAGCCAGTTGTGCTTCGGTTCTTACAAAACCAACAGCAGGGGACATTGTTTCAACACGACAATGCCAGGCCCCATACTGCAAGACTGATTCGGAACTTTCTAAACCAGCAGAACGTTGACGTTTTGCCCTGGCCTGCCCACTCATCCGATATGAATTCTATTGAACATGTGCGGGACCATCTTGACAGACAGATTAGAGCACGCCATCAGCCTCCCGTCAACAGACAAGAATTGCAGCAGGCCCCGAGAGACGAGTGGCAACGGATTCCAGTCCACGTCATCAGAAGACTGACGTCATCGATGAGGCGGCGTATCACAGCATGCATTCAGGCAGCTGGAGGTCATACACGCTATATCACGCTCCTCTCCCCCAAAATCACATACAAACGTTGATCGAATGGATAGCGCGTATTTTTGTGCTTAAGTCACTTGGACATTGTTTAGCTTCATAAACTGTTCATAAAAACATGTCAGACATCTTTGACATCATTGTTGACTTAGTCTTATGATATGATGTAAACATTAGGGGAAATGAGCTCAAGTAAATACAGAAACAGAGGGTCTAAAATTGCCACAGTGTTAAGGCCGAAAGTCTTTTTAGGATTTAAATTGTGATTAAGGAAGTAGAGGGTATAGAGAGAACAAGATAACAAATCTTAACAAAACCTACCTGCCAAACGAGTGCTAGTTCGTTAGTTTCCGTAAGCCTAACGACTGTATGATTCCCAATTAGATTAGAAAGTCACAAACTGTGATGAACGCAGCGTGTGTTCGATGAAGATGAATTACAGCCCCTCAGATCTGTTTACTGAATACACCTTGACCAATGTTCAGGCCGCCCATAGTTTCGAGGAATTGCCCGGGCTACTCTTCATGGTTTCGTTCTCAGCAAATTTATATGAATGTATATGATGCCTCATCTTCATGTACTTTAATAATGCAAATCGACAAAGAAGATGTACAGATGCCTCGACAACATTTTTCACACATGAATGAGTTCAACCTTGGCAGTCTGCTGGTACAGGTAAACATGGCTATTAATGGTCATGTGTGTCAGGTTGCCCTAACCTCGCTGTACACAAAACAAGTGCATTGTCTAAACTAGGCTACGTATGCAGTTCTTCAGCCGTTTCAATAATGCAGTGCGCTGTCACAGCATGCTGTGTAGGTCTGTTCAGCATAATGTATTCTATTAGTGTGTCTCAGGTTCAGGCTTCTAGTCGTCCCAGACAAAAATTGAAGACGTAGTTTCTTTTAAAATGTATTTATTTGCCTGTAACATGAAACGTCAACATGAGAAAAGTGTTGATTGCTGTCGGCCAATCCTACCAGGCTGACAGGTGACAAATTACTGTCCATATTATACTGAGTCAAATTAAAAACTTCACATTTTTAAAAGTAATCCCATATATGATATACAACGGACAAATGTATCAGAGAAGGTAATTTTTAATCATTAATGTCCAAAGAAGGATTTTAATTAACGGTGGTAACCATAATTTGTTCCAAGCACCTTCGGTATTCGGTAATAACATCAACAGTTTAAATCATAAGTCCCAAGCACGAGAATCTGATGACACACAAGTTCAGTAGCGTGCATGGCCACCATGTGCGTTGACAACTGCCACACAACGCCTTCGGAAGGACCTTGTGATGCTTGTGAACACATGATTGGGAAGACGACGCCATTGTTGCTGCAAAATGGTGCCAAGATCTTGTAAATTCTGTGGTTGGTTCTGGAGAGTGCGCAGACTTCTGCCAAGAGCATCCCAGACGTGTTCGATGGGATTGAGGTCGGGAGACCTTGACGGCCAGTCCATGACGTTGACTCCCGCATTCTGAAGGAAATTCCTTGTCAAAATTGCTGTGTGGTGTCTGATATTGTCGTGTTGGAAGATCAAACCGGGTCCATGTGCTGCCATAAAAGGCAGAAGTTCTGGTGCCAGTACCTGGTCGCGGTAAGCAGCAGCGTTGAGGTTGCCACGGATGACAAGAAGCCTGGAACGTGCATTGCCACAGAAAGCACCCCACACCATGAAACTTCCGCCTCGAAATCTGTCAACTTCCTGTACACAACACCGGGCGTAACGTTCATGACGGCGCCTCCACGCCCTCGCCCTACCATCAGCAAATCGAAGATGAAATCGGGATTCATCACTGAAGACGATTTGATTCCAATTCCTCTGAGTCCATCGTAAGTGTCGCTGTGCCCACAATTGACGTTGACGTCTGTGTAATTGAGTCGGAATCGGCCCGCAGTATGGCCGTCTTGCTTGAAGGTGAGAAGTTCTCAGACGGTTTCGAACAGTTTGCGCACTGTCTAACCCTAAACTGTTAATTTCTGGTTGATGTAGCCGTCAAAAATCGGTTACGGAGGTGACGTAAGACAATCTGACGATGCTCTGCATGTGACGTCACACGTGGTCGACCTGGCCGAGGGCGATCAGCAGTGGTACCCGTTTGCTGTAGACGCGTCTGTAAATCATAAACAGTCCGTCGACTACAACCCATTGTCCTTGCGACTTCAGCTACGGACGTTCCCGTCTGCAACATGCCGATGGCACGTCCACGTTGCACATTTGATAGGCGTGGCATGACAAATGGCCGTAAAGACTTTTGTTTTCTTGTGTTTTTCTTTTTTTGTTAATGACTGCTAACAAGTATGGCTGAAAATCAGTGCGGTATTATGGCCACGTGACCAGTTGCACGTTAAAATACACTTTTGCCACTATATTGCTGTGCACATGATTTTGATCGATTCACCTGCACTAAAACGGGTGTAATCTGAAGACAATACGTGGCCATTACTGTTTAAATACACAATAAGGGCCCACAATGATAACTGGTTAAAATTTTAGGATTGTGAAGTTTTTAATTTGGTTCAGTATATATATGATGTATATAATAATGATAAGAGTAGTAGTGTAGGTAAGGGGGGAAATAGCATGAGTGAGTGAGTGAGTGAGTTGGGTTTAACGCCGCTTTTAAAAGTATTCCAGTTATATCATGGCGTGTCAGCTTAATGTGGGAGGAAAGCCCGAAGTGATGCAGGTCTTAGACGTTTACCACTTCGGTGAAACCCACGAGCATGGGTATGGTGCTGACAAACCTAGAAACATAATCGGGGCGAACCGGGATTCGAACCCACAATCATAGGTTTCTGGCGTGCCCAAAGGACGCAACTCTGCACAGCGAATCGCGGCGCCTTAGACGACTGGGCCACCCATGCCCCCGGAAATAGCATGAGACCGCTACACCCATGATGGGGCCAGATTTATACCCCAATACTGCCACTACAAGAGGGGAATTTTTTCTCTCTTCCATTAAAATGATTATGCTATTCTACGATCGACATGACATTAAGCTAAGACGAATGCCCCCAAATAGGTGTACTCCCAATTAAACATTTGATGTACATAGGATATATAAAAATGCCAAAAGCATCCCTACAAAGAGAAGCATACACCGAAATTCGTCCGGGCACTTTATCTGTTCGAGCAGCAAAACAGAAGTACCACATTTCACAAGCTAGATATATGCGAATTCGTGGAAGCCCAGAGGAGCAAGAAACGAAACAAGAAGTATTGGAGGCCTATGATTCTCTCAGAAACAGATACCCTTTTTTATTCCTATCCGATAGAGAGAAACAAATCTTGGAGTATTTAGGGTATACTTTCTACGAGCGGCACCAAATCCCAAAGCAGTTTCTAGAGTTTCCTGTCCTGCAATCGAGTCTGGCAAGATACTAGATTTCGTTTTCTTATAAAACAGACAACAAAGCCTAGGCAACTGCGTATCATTTCCTCTAGAGAAAGTGAAAGAAATCCACACAACCAATGCAAGGGACTGTCTAACCACTTGTCCTACACCACCAAGCATCTTTGAGGATCCTACTTCCACTTGCAAATGTGGCACCACAGACCACTGCATCGATAGCAAGAAATGGATAAACAGATTCACCACCATACCACCACCAGAACAGCGGCTGCCCCTAGTAGCTCCAGACCAGATAGCAATCCCTAGTTTAATATAGAAAATCGGTACGACAATGAGTGTGCTGGGTGGTGTATCCAATTATCGATACTTACCAAAACTCTAGCAGAGCAGTGCCAATGTGGAAAAAACGACTGCATCTTCCGAAGACTAACAGGTGAAGGTGACTTCCCCGATCCACCGGGGAAGAATCCACCAATCCTACAAATACCAAACCACAGCGGTCCAACAGATCTAGAACTATTACCAGCGCCACCCATTTCCAAACTTAGGAAAGCATTACCAGAGCGCCATTTTCTGCAGGGCTACCAGGGTTTTCGGCTACCTTTTCTCCCAAAAACCTAATATCCCAAAAAGTAGTGGAGAATTTACAATTAAACTTTGGTAGCCCAATGTATATAGAGCAACTTTAGAGACAACATTCCAAAGTATGGGTCTGCGAACTGCAAAATCTATTGCGCAAAAACTATTGCTAGAAAATGCATACCAAAGCAACCTAGTGAGGTGAGGTGAAATTGGGTTTAACGTCGCGTCCAAGATTATTGCACTTATATAGCGACGTGCATGCACGTGTATGTGTGTGTGTGGCTGCTTGTACTAGTCCGGACTGATGCCGATTTATAGTGCTAGCTCACTGAGATACCATGCCGCAGTTTAACATGAATACCCCACTCAGACACAGTATACTGACTCCGAGCCGACCAGTCCTTGTTTTAGCCCCTTAATGCCGAGCGCCAGACAGGGTAACAACAAGTACAATCTTTTAACGTCTTTTTGTATGACGCGGCCCGGGATCGAACCCTGGACCTTCCGCTCTCCGGGCGGACGCTCTACCACAAGACCACGGAGGCGGTCCAAAGCAACCTAGTACCAAATATTGCAAACGTAGACTATTTGGCAGGAAATCTCGGTAGGACAAATCTACAACCGCTAGAAGGTCTACCAACATTTGTGGACGATTTGTATGTGTTTGGGTATCTCCAATGCAAAGAATGTGTACACAAAAAAGGAAAATTGCTATGTACGGGAAAAGATAGTTCTGTGCAATATATAGTATCGAGAATATCTGCAGCAGTACCAACAATTATGAGAGAAACTCCAAATGGGGAACGAAGAGGACATATACATACAACAATTTTGCATACTATATCTGCACATCCTGAAACCAAAAATAGTGCCATACTGAGTACAATTGCAAGAATAGAGCAAGATACAGAGCAGAAAGCAAAAAAGAAGTGGGAAGAACTATATCCAGAAAAAGAGGCACATGGCTTGTTTGTGGCAAAGATAGATGTTTCCGAAATATCTATAGATGAATTGCTTGCCTCTTTGCCAGACTTTGAAAGACAACTACTAGCACACAGCTATGGTTTGTATTCTATAGACTACACGAGGGACTTTTCTGGTACACTGGATAGAGTAGCTCTCGTCGAATATCTCTGCAAAGAATATGGTTTCCGAGAACAAGGCGACCTCACAGCAGCTATCCAGGAAAATACTCCAATTATTCTCGAAAATACAAATAGAGTTGGGAAAAATGTCTGTGCATGGCTGCATACCTACAATGGCTATACAACAAGAACAAATTTCTACAACAAAGTCGTGTCCAATTTCGAAGCAGGAGAAATACGAGAACAACTTGGTGGACACCTTGCAGACTATGTGGACTGTCCAAACAAACATTTGGGAAAGACATTTCTACGAATAGTTTCCACAACGCATTTGTTTGTAGTACAACCACCCACAAAACAATGGGAAAATCTTGCTGGTTGTCTAGATCGTTGCTTTGTGCTAGCAGATCGCCCACAAGGAACTATATTTGCAGCTTGGTATGTGCATACAACAACTGGGAGAATAGCTGGAGTACGAATTTGTCCAACAACAAAGTGTGTAGAAGACGATACAAAATGGAATACAGCTATACAATGGACCATGGGAGATTTTGGCTTCCGAAACGGCCCAATATTCCGAGTAGAAATTCTATCCGCAAATGGTAAGGTGTGGAACTAGGTCCTCTATATTGCTATACAAAAA